CCCGGTTCCGAGACGCCAATACAGATTCCGAACAAGCTTCCGACCAACCAACTTGGGGATTGGGATCACGATCCTCAATTAGACCGTAAGGATATTTTCTGCTTTCTGATTTGTAGAGTGTGAGTTCTAATTGTTACTTACAGCGTCTGGCGAACCCCCCGAGCCACTGCGACGAGTCGAGGGCGATAACTATGCCCCCAATAACCCGAAAAGCGCACGCATCAATGCCACGATTCTCAGTTTGGTCCGCAACGAAGAGCTTGAGGATATGCTTCAGAGTATGCGCGATCTCGAACGCACGTGGAATCACAAGTTCAACTACCCGTGGACCTTCTTCAACGATAAGCCATTTACCGAAGAATTCAAAAAGGCTACGCGGGCAGCCACCAACGCCGAAGTGCGATACGAGCTGGTCCCCGCTGAACACTGGGATGTACCATCGTGGATAAACATGGACCTATACCAAGAGTCCGTCTCGCTGCTGGAATCACTCGACGTACAATACATGGGCAAAAAGTCGTACCACCAAATGTGTCGGTGGAACAGCGGGATGTTCAGTGAACACCCTGCATTGAAAGATGTGCAGTACTACTGGCGAGTCGAGCCCAACGTCCATTTCTTTTGTGACGTCGACTACGACGTCTTCGCATGGATGCAAGACCACAACAAAACCTACGGCTTCAACATCAACATCTACGACAGCCCAGACAGCGTCGCAACCCTCTGGCCCGAAACAAAGAAATTTATCCAAGACAACCCCGACTACGTCCACCCAAACAACGCGCGCGAGTGGCTCGAAGACAGCAAGCGCCGCCCCGAGAACAACAAGAAAGCCCACGGCTACTCCACCTGCCACTTCTGGTCCAACTTCGAAATCGGCGACTTGAGTTTCTGGCGCAGCAAAAAATACCGTGATTACTTTGATCATCTCGATCGCGCTGGCGGCTTCTTCTACGAGCGCTGGGGCGATGCCCCTGTCCACAGTGTGGCGCTCGGCCTGTTCGAAGACAAGAACAAGATCCATTGGTTCCGCGATATTGGATACCAGCACATTCCCTTCTTCAACTGTCCGAACAATCCAAAGTGCTCGGGTTGCGTCACAGGTCGCTTTACCGACGGTGAGAAGTGGTTGAATCGTGAGGATTGTCGACCGCTGTGGTTCAAATATGTGGGAATGGAGTGAGAGTGTGGATCCGCAGCAGTCAGTTTTGTGTTTTTGCTCAGGTACAGCAAAAAAAGGACTCAATCGGTTTGATACTGGGATTATTATGTATAGATACGATGTGTGCGTACTGCAATGTGTACATGCATCACGGCGAACATTCCGTCTATCTTTTCGAGGAAGAGGAGTTTTACGGCATCTTGGACTTGGAGGCTTCTTTTTTTCTCTATCCCCTTGGGCATCTACTCCTAGATAGATGTCCACTCGATAGTACATATACCACTAGACTATAAATAAGACATCTAAAAAACACGCATATCAAAATCTTCTATCCCTTTCCGTCTATACCAAAACTCGGTCCTTCTTCCCATCCCACTCCAACCGATCCGCCAACTGCTCCCACATGGGCTCCGCCCCCGCCCTCCCCACACTCTTCAGTCCCGCACTGATAAACGGAAGCAACCGCTTAAACTCTGCCTCTACCCTCCCCAGCTCCTTCCCTTCCTTCCTTGCAAGCAGCACGCCCAAATCTAGCATCTCGAGTATCGCTGCGAAAATCGGCTTCACATCCTTCGACAGCAGCGTCCTCTGGCGCAACCTCGCCATGTACTCGACGTGGATCCGCGCCATCTCGTCGATATCCCGTGCTTTCTGCATTGACGAAAGCATCGTGCGGGTAGTGAGATGGATTGCGGTTTCCGTGATGTAGGAGCGGAGGGTGTCGGTGAACCAGGTCAGGGTGTGGAGGAGTTTGTAGAGGAGGGGGGGTAAGTTAGGTTTTCGGGTGGCGCGGAGGCGGGTGCGTTGTAGGAGGTATTTCACGCGGTAGATTTGGAGGAGGAGGGTGCAGAGGGAATGGTAGGTTGGGAGAGAGGTACGTTGGATTATGTTTTGGAGGGACCAGGGTAGCTTTTGAAAGGGAGAACATGAGTTAGAAGGGGAGGACTGGGGGTGGGGGAGGCCGACTTACTGCGTAGTCTACGGATATGATGGCCAAGTCTTTGACAGACTTGCCGTAGTTTGGGTTTGCTTTGGTGGAGCGGACGACAATTTTGTCGGCTTCAGAGGTAGATAGGATGGTACTGTATATACCTCGTGTTACTTCTGTAAGTACGTAGCGGTCGTTCCATCCTCGTCTGCCGGCATCCATGCGTTCAAAGATTGCGGTTGCGAAGTCTTCAAAGACTGATCCATTTCGGCCCAGGTATAAGGTCTCGAAGACTCCGAGAACGTGCATGAGGCCATCAGTCTCGAAAATGTGTTGACGGAGTACAGTGGAAGCGATCGAGTATTTGCTGCGAATCCATGACTCAAAGGCCATGCGGAACAACTCCGGGAAGGGTGAGAGTGGTGCGTTGTCCGAGGTACCGCATACCATCTCATGGTCCAGACTGGGCTCGTGAACCTCAGAATGTAGGCCTGTGTCGTAAATGCCCAGCTCTTTCAAGAATACAATACTCTTTCCAGTGTTAAAGACCTTGCTTACTGCCGGTTGCAAGAACGAAGGAAACTGCAGCTTATTCTGACCATCACGGCGCAATTCATAGTGATCATGCCACAATGAGGACGTTTCACTTTTGGCGTCATTTTCCATAACGAAAAACGCCTCCTGGTCGGATCCTAGTTCTCCCGTTTCCATCCACCGCCGTATTGGCTTTAGATATGTCTGTAAGCATTCGAAGAAGGCCTCCGACAAATACTTGAAGATTTCATCCTCCAGTGCCATCTGCGCCAAAGTAGCCGCTTCGAATAAGGCTTCCAAATGACGGAAAGGATTGATATGCGCCAAAGGTTTATCCTTCAGAGTTGCTTGGTCGCGAGCAACCTGAGTTACAATTGGTGCTAAGCGGAGAATGGGCGCGGACAGTTTCCGAATGTCTCTGTGTAATTGGAGCAAACTAACAGGTATTGGGTTTTCAGGGAGTAGGTATTGCTGTTGCATTTCTGCTAAACAGTAGTCGAACTGGAGTAGTCGTTTCTGCACAGAAGCGTCAAAAGTCTGGACGAGAGGCGATGACGGGCGTTTGCTAGATCGCTGTTGCAATGTCCATTGCCGCATTCCTTGTAATCGCGAGCCAATTTCCGCAAGCTGGGATAGTAGATGCTCGACAGAGGCTGATCGAGTATGATCGAGGACATAGTTAGAATTATGACGGAAACAGCGCTTTTGTTTGTCTATTTCATATAGACTTGTCTTCAATCCACCAATCATGAACAGTGTCTCCTTTACTGCCTGTAACTCCGTGATGCTCACATCGGAACTATCTTCGCTCACAGGGTGGCTCCAAAACTGTGTTTCTTCTAGCTTTGTCACGATCTCTTTGTCGATTGATGTAACGCAAGACTCCGGATCGTAAGTGTCATCTTCATCAAAACTCGTCGGCGGTGAGCTTGGACGCCTTTTGGGCTTCTTCAGTGGCTTCTCCTCATCAGAAGAGTCGCCGGCATAGTCAATGTCCTTCCAGATATCTTCATCGCTGTATGGGTCATCTTGCAGGATCTCTGCCCAAGTCAACGGTGGAGGGGGACTCGGCGGTCTCAGCAGGTCCAGTGCCTCGATTTGGGTATTCTCAAGAGGCCGATCGGCTAGCTGGAGTAATAATGCTAAGATTTCAGGTTTGTATTTGTTTGTATATCCTTCAAGCTTTTGCAGCCGCACTTGCAGCGCATCAGCGAGGTCATCGCGATTTTTGACTCGAAACTTCTCATCAAGCCCTGCAAAGCTAGCTGTGACATCGAACTGATTTGTACGCGCATATTGGTGACCTCGAAGGTTGCGTGTTGCGATCTCTTTAGCGTGTTTGTAGGCTTGCTTGTTCTTTGCTGAATCAGAAGTCAAAAGAGACCGGATAAGGTCGTCTGTAATACTAGAGACCCTTGCATTTTGCGCCATGGTTTGGTGTTGTCCATGTCAAGAGATCATGTGAGGGCTGCGATTAGTGTTTGTAGAGATGATACGCGTCCGGGCAACCTGCAGCTGAACAGGCCCGGGCCCCACTTCGACTTCTACGCTACTCCCAATACATGTTAAAGCTCTTTCTACATATTAAGTAAGCGGAATCTTCGGCAATAGCTGCCATTCCTGAAGAGCAACAGATCACAATAGTCCAACGCGCCGTAAAACGTCCAGAATCTTGTAACGCAGACCAGGTGTTGGCTTCCAGTCATCATATCACAGACTATTTCTACTAATATCTTCATTGGCGAATTCGAAGCATCCCTTAGTCCAATAATACATTTCACTCAACTAGCTATTGCACGTAAAAAGACGCAACGCCTCGCGAACAAAGCAAAGCCTCCAAGCTGGAATCAGAGGCGCAATAGATCGCCGGCACCTCCGAAACTCGACTGGATGACATTTATTTCAAATTTCAAACAACATCAAAAGCACAATGCGTCATCCCGCTGCGCCCACCATAATTGCTGTACTACTTGGTTTCCTCTTCTTCATGGTTGTCTGGAGCAGAGTACGCGCCGATGACCATCACGAGGGAAATCCTCATCCAGACGATATTCCACGCAAGAAGGAGAAAGAGGAGGTGAATCTTATCAGGGATGAAGCCAGTACAGCACAGGATGATCAAAGCATTTGAACATGTTTTTACATCCCTGAGTCTTGGTGCGGTGAAGCTTGTGTTCTGGGCCCGACTATCCACAACAAATACGACAGCCATTCCTCTTTTCTCGCCCTCGCCAAGACATCCGTGATGGTCCTTGAGTCTGGACACTGATAGCGCTACTATTCAGGCGCCGAGGACCTTATCTGAAGCTGTTTTTTTTTCGAAAGTCGGCCCTTATGGTAGAACGTACTTGCTCAGCCAATCATCTCAACTCATGAATCGCCAATTCACATACTGGTTCGGCTATCATAAGAACTCTAGAAGCTATGAGCGATTTTGTGCGAAGATTTGCACATTGTCTCTTCAGTGTCTTGTCAGAGGATGAAGGATATTCGCCCATCAATCCAGCGCTTGCTGAATTTGGATTGTGTTCGATTGCAGCAATTGAGTTGCATGTCTGGCGGAAGCAGAGCTTTAGACTAGATATTTTTGTCTCTAAGATCTTGGGTATAAACAGCTTAGAAGTGCTTTTGGGACACACCGCAGAGAGGTTGTAATACGGTATCGTGTAGGAAAGCTAGAAAAAGTAGAATTTCAGCAGGGCTAGTCACTGGTGACTTTGATATCAAGGATGTTAGATTGTTCATTTTGTCTTTACATTAAATAACAAAAATCAAGCACTTCAATATGTTTCTAAAAAGAGCGCTCCATATCAAATCTAACTCTCAGGCGCATCCACTGGTACCCACGCTCTCCCTTGCGCGTTCAACAGCTCGGTAACTTCATCCATATCAACACCCAGCGCATCCGCAATATACTTGGGCATATCAGTGTTATCCCAGCCTCCAGCCATATCCGCGACAAGGCGATCACCGATCTCGCCAACAGCATAACCATACAGTGTCGTATCAACACCCGTGTGCCCACCAGTCGACCACTTAAGTCCCGCCCTCGCATTCAACAAATCCGCCAACTCTTGCGCAAAGTCCTCACTAGCAATCAACCTCTGGATCTCCACATCCGAAACATCGGTGAGGCCATATGCGGGAATGATCTCATTGGCGAGGAAGCCATCTGCATCGGTGCCATTGTACTTGCTCCACTGCTCACTCAGGTACTCAACCGAGTGCTTGCCGGGCTGAAGAAGTTGAGGGTTGTGTCCGGACGGGAGCGTGATGCCGCCTGTCTCGTGGTCTGCAACGGCAAGGAAAGCAGTATCGGGGTGCTCGTCGATCCACTTCATCACGATGTCGGTGACGCGGTTGAACTCGAGTACGTCGTGGAGATGCGCAACAGAGTCGTGTGCGTGCGATGAGTGATCGATGCGCGAGGCTTCGATCATGAGGAAGTAACCTTTTTCGTTGGATTTACTGCCGCGAGAGAGCGAGTTGAGCGCTGCCTTTGTCATCTCGGATAGCGATGGCTCCTGGACTTCTGCGGCTTGTTGCTGGCGATCGATCTCGTAGCTGAGGTCTCCGCCCTTGAAGAGCCCGACATAGGGGAGTTGGATGTCGCCGAGACCAAGCTCGAGAGCGTCGAAGCCAGTACGGTCTCGGGCTGTGTAGTAGCCCTGTGACTTGGCGTAGGAAAAGAGATCGATATTGTCGGTTCTGCAGGAGCCGGTTTCGTTTTGGGGCTGGAAGTCACAGCGTCCGCCGCCGAGCATCAAGTCCACACTGATGTTGAGAGGGTGGCTGTATCCGACTAGCTGTTCCGCGATTTGGCTTAAAGAATTGCGGCTTGCTGCGTGGGAGAAGAATGCTGTCCTTGTTTAGTAACGACCTGAAAATTTGTTATAGACAAGAACTTACATGCAGGAGTTGCGTGACTGATGGGCGAAGTCACAACAAGACCAGTGGTGTAACCAGCCAACTTTGCAGCCTCCATGACGGATCCAACTGGTTTTCCATCAGGCAGGACTCCAATCAATCCATTGTTAGTCTTGTGGCCTGTTGCAAGAGCAGTACCAGCAGCGGCGGAATCGGTCACGAGATTGTTGGAAGAATGTGTATGGGTGTTTCCAATGACAGTGACATCAAGAGGAAGCGATTTGATCCTTGGTGCCCGGGGGGTTGAGTCACCGTTTACCATGGACAAATACGTTCGAATCAGGGTTTGAGAGGCGGGGCCCATGCCATCGGGGACGATGAATATAAAATTCCTGGGCTCAATAGCTGCTAAAGTAGACTGTGCCAATGCAACAGCTGCTAGCGCTGTGGAGGTGCGCATTTTGGAAGCGAAAGTGGCGGGCTAGAGACTTGAAGGTAGTTGTCTGAGGAGTCAAGTGCCCGAGCTGTGATATGCATGTCTGGCATGTTGAAATGATCTTATAGTTCTCAGAATTTTCAACAACTACCTATCACGGTATTCCCGGGAGCGGCAAATACATCGAGTACCCACGACAAGTATTTGAGCCGTCTCAACGGCGGTGCCACAGGTCTTGGACCTGCATACTACAGGAGGTAGTAGTGGGCCGTTGGAATGTAGTCATTGGAACACTTACGTCCATGTACTGAGTATCAAAAATGAACAGATCAAATCCAAGAGCCTTTGAAGCTAAATTCCAAGTGCATCTACCTTCTTTTCTGATCCCTCGCAACCTTTTTGACCGTTTTCTAGCAACATGAGTGTCAACCTAGTGTTTAGCATCGAGAGGCATGGAAAAGTCTCATGCAATACAAAGCTGTAGAGTGCCGGGTATTCTACGCAGCGTCAGGCACTCAGATTTGCGAATATACTCACGTTGAGGCCCAAAAATAATCTCGGCATGCACGCCCAGCCTCGGACGCCTTTTCGCTCGTATTGCCAAGTACTTGGGAAATAGGAACATCCTAACAACACAATACTGCAATTACACAAGATGCGGACCACGTGAGACTACCATAGGCTATCTCCGTCCAGTCCACATGTTTTCCAGTCTTCTCCTTCTCCATGGAGTAAGGATCTCCGTCGTTCCTCCACCTTGTGAACCTAGTCTCCAAGCAGTGATACCTTGGCATCGATAACCAGTACTTCTGAAGTACTTAACCAGGTGAACTACTCAGCCGAGATCCGGTACCTTCGTTTGTACATATAAAGACGATGGCCTCCATATTGGACGCTGATACGGTTGCGCATCTCAGCGTATACACGTACATGCGGTGTGTGTCACGTGCCATATCCACGGCCCCGTAAGTAATGCTGAACTGACTAAGGTCGTCAGAACGTTAAAGCCTTGAAATTTTCTTTGACGTCGAATGTAAGTATTTATGGCATTACGAGACTAGATCGAAGAGTAACGTTGTCATGCTTTAGCTTCGGTCGTCATTTTCCCGAGTCGCCAAGCAACTCTTTATGCGCTGCACCCCGCAAAACGATTGGAATGTGACCTCGGGTGCGGCGTCATTATTCGTTAGTTCCTTGACTTGCCGAATTTCGTACATGAGATTCTCCGTAGCCTTAACCAATACGGGTTACAGTCCGATCAATCTAGCTGTTCAGGGGAATGATGTTCTTTGAAGTTCTTGCAGGCAAGTTACGACCTGCTGTAACCATCGGACTAGCTGCTGCGCATTCGTGGAGATTCTTCACCCCGGTATGACATACGAGGTCACACTGTGTCTGTTCAAGTATGTGTACCTGGCATAGTCCTGTTCGGGGTAAATCCCACCCGGTGGACAAAGTATGTTATATATTGTGAAGGTAGGTGATCAGTGCTGTAGCAGTTCAGGAGCAGTTTTGTGTCTTTTTCACTACCTCGCAACCCACCATGCGTGCTCACAATTTTCCCCTTTACGCATGGGGTCTGTGGTCGGCATCCACTGCGAATGCTGCCGTATCGCGCCGACACATTGACCAGGCGCTTGACAGTCTCACAGTTACGAACATTGAGGATGTAAGCGGCAATCTTCACCTACCAGACACATCTGGAGACTTCAAAATCACCTGGGCAAGCAGCCACCCATCAATTATCTCACCGGATGGTATCGTGAAACGACAGGATGCCGAAACCGCGGTCGATCTCACGGCAATCATTGACCATGAAGGAATCATCTCCAACCGCACTTTCAACGCCAATGTCCGTAAAGCAGCAGCCCTTGCACCTTTCGAGGGTTACGCCTTTGCATACTTTACGGGCAACTCCATAGCTGGCGAAAAGATTTACATGGCAGCCAGTCAAGGCAACAATGCTTTGAAGTGGAATGAGCTGAACGGCGGCCAGCCAGTCCTAGCCTCTACTATGGGCACAAAAGGCCTGCGCGACCCTTTTGTCATCCGATCAAACGAGGGCGACAAGTTCTTCTTGCTCGCCACTGACCTTTCGATCGGATCCGGTACCTCGTGGGGAGATGCAGTCAAGTTTGGCAGTCTCTACCTTGAGATTTGGGAATCGAAGGACCTTAAGACCTGGTCAGCCCAGCGCCACGTCAAGGTTTCTCCATCCACTGCTGGAAACACATGGGCGCCTGAAGCATACTATGATGCTAGTATAGGCTCATACGTGGTTTTCTGGGCTTCTTCGCTCTATGAACCAAGCGATACCGCCCGTACTCGACCGACCTACCACCGGATGATGTATGTCACCACGCGAGACTTTGTCACATTCAGCCAACCTCAGGTATGGCAAGACGCTGGACTCTCGCGTATCGACACCACTGTCATCAAGGAGGGAAACACTTTCTACCGATTCACCAAGGACGAGGGAGGTACAGGAACCAACTGCCAAGACATCATCCAAGAGCGGTCAACATCGTTCCTTGCGCCTGTGAGCGGATGGACTCAGGTTGCTGCATGCATTGGTCGCAACGCCGGTACCAGCGCCGTTGAAGGACCGACTGTATTCAAGGCCAACGACAATGACGTCAACGGCAAGAAGTTCTACCTCTTTGTGGATGAATACACGGGCCGCGGCTATATTCCTCTCGAGACTGCAGACATCTCCAAGCCAACCTGGAAGGTCTCCAGCTCCTACAGTCTCCCACGCAGCCCGCGCCACGGAACCGTCATCCCAGTCACTGCCAGCGAACTTGCTAACCTACGATCTGGACTTACGAGCCGCTCAGATTCTGTTGCTTCTCGCAGCCGCTCCCGCTTGAGTGCTAGATCAGGAAGCCCTGTTCTCCCAGGCCTCTATGCCGACCCCAACATTGCAGTCTTTGGCAAGAACTACTACCTCTATGTCACAACCGACGGCTTCCCAGGCTGGGGCGGCAACGTCTTCTACGTCTGGAAGTCTCCCGATCTAGTTTCATGGGCTCGATCAGAGAAGCCTTTCCTAACTCTCAATGGCACAAGCGGAAACGTTCCATGGGCAACAGGAAACGCCTGGGCTCCAACCATTATTGAAAGGGGCGGCAAGTACTACTTCTACTTCAGCGGCCAAAACCCCAAGTACAACCGCAAAACCATTGGCGTCGCCGTTGCAAACTCCCCCGAAGGCCCCTTCACCGCCCAACCCGAAGCCATGATCCTAAACGACGGCACCCCCAAGACCGGCCAGGCAATCGACCCTGCCGCATTCCGCGACCCAACCACCGGAAAGTACTACATCTTCTGGGGCAACGGCACACCAGCCCTCTACGCCGAACTCGCCGACGACATGATCTCGCTCAAGGCCGGCACCACACGCGCCATCAGCGGCCTCACCGACTTCCGCGAGGGCATCTTCCTCAACTACCGCAAGGGCCTCTTCCACCTCACCTACTCCATCGACGACACCGGCTCAGAGAACTACCGCGTCGGCTACGCTACCTCGACCAGCGTCAACGGTCCCTGGACATACCGCGGTGTTATTCTCCAGAAGAACACTACCCTGGGTATCTTGGGTACTGGACATAATTCCATTATCAATGTACCCGGTACGGATGATTGGTACATTGCGTACCACCGCTTTGCTATCCCCAACGGCGGTGGAACGAACAGGGAGACGACGATTGATCGGGTTTACTTTGATGATGCCGGGTTCATTAAGCCGGTTGTGCCTACGCTGACGAGTGTGGAGCCGGAGCCGGTTCCTGCATGAGGTCGTTGAAGGTGGGATGGGGTGTATATATGAAGAGTGGTTTTCTCTTTTCTAGTAAATAGTACGCTGTTTTGATCATGTAGTTGAATGAAATATGAATATATATCATGAATTTACTGGCTCGATACATACCTCCCTACATGTAGCGTCGCTAAGTGTTCAAGGACTGTATGCGTTTGGCTTTTTGACAAACAGTCTTTTGTGATGTGCTTGTTCAATCAGGCACCATACACATATAGAAGATTGATTGTGCTTTCTATTGACAATGTCTTGCTATTTGACTCTACATTATTCACAGTGTACTATCAATTCTAACCGCGTAACTTGAATCCAATCGTTACTCGACATAACCTGATGTCCATGTATATTTCATTCGTCTCAACCCCTTGCACTCCCTCCAATCGTATTCCAACACTCCCGCCCCCTATCCAGCCCTAGGTCTCTCCCATGCCTGAGCATCATTCATCTCAATCCCTCCCGTGACACTCGCCTGCCCCAACTTCTCCACACTCCAATCCACATCCCCGGGAACCGGACTCCTCAGCTCCTTCTCGCGACCCAACCCCTCAACACCCGCCGGACCATCTCCCCAAACCAAATACTGCGCCGCGAGCCCCAAATCGCAGCACGCCTGAAAGATACCACAAGCCTTGAACGCCCAGGGGACCTCTCCACTGCTACTCGCGAAGAAGAACCACATCTTAAACGTATCACCAATAACCCAATTCACAATAACACTCGGGCGGAACCCCTTGCACCCCCTCCGCTGCCAATTCGCCAGAATCTGAGGCAACGGCAGCGTCGCCTCAATCGTCAACGCAATGCCACCCAGCAAATCCGTATACGGTCCAAACACGGCCGTCGAACTCATCAGCAAATGCAACACCAGCAGACTGCCCGCAAAATACGTGATAAACGCCCAATAAGGTCTCGGGGCCCTCCACTGCCAAAAGTCATACGGGCGGTTCGACACGTCGTTGTGCTGAAACGGGAGGTGCGAGGGCGGGGGCCGATTCGTGAGGGCGACGTGGAGAAGGAGGAGGTGAACGCATATCATAAGTAAAGCTTGTATGAGCAGCGAGGTGCTGAAGTGGGCGCCGAACCAGTAGTAGACTTTGAGGATGCTGGCGACGAGCATTATGAGGGGGATGTCGAGGGAGAAGCCGGCGGAGCTGCGGGCGCGGTGCATCGAGTAGATTTGGTCGCCATAGCTGGTTATCGGGCTCGTTGCTATGCTGGTGCGAGGGAAAGCACGGATGCGTTAGAGTAGGGAGGTGGAGAGGAGAGGGGTGCGGGCGGCGTACAAGATGGGCGCTATGTTCTTTACGATTGCGCTGATGAAGAACATGGTTGTCTTGGTCGTGAATCGAGGCGGTCGGTCGGGGAGGGCGGGCGGCGGGCGGAGGACGAGGCGGTATTGTTCGGAACGGTGGTGGTAGGTTGTCGGAATCACCTCTCTCCCCTTGTTTGTATTGTACCCACAATTTTCTTCACGCTGTCTTCTCTCGTTTCTTCAAATAAAAAAATCTTTCCAAATAGGATCGCTTAAGTAGACAAAAGAAAAATAATAAAAATAACAAGCACGTGACCGTCGTAAAACCGTTTGGTGTTGTAACCGTTGCTGCCAAAAAAACAAGGCCAGCAGCGCGGGATAATAAAGGGCAGAGAGGGAAAAAGGGAGGGAAATGCACTAAATGTAACCCGCGGACAACCTAAAGTCCGGTCCCCTGCCTATTTGCCCATAGGGCTGAACCCTCGTTATCTTATCGCCCGAATCCGCCTCAATATATCCCCATAATACCCCAACTCTCCCCTCTCTCCCCCTCCATCCTCCAAATACAAAGGTCAACAAACCCCACCAACCCCGCGTACACAACCTTTCTCCTTTCTCTCCCTTTTTCTCCTTCTTTTTGAAAGAACAATAGAATACCTAGATTTTCTTTCCAAAAAAAATAAAAAATAAAAAAGATGTCCCACACAGCATTCTTCTACGGCACCCTAATGGCCCCCCCAGTCCTGCACCGCGTAATCTGGGGCTCACCCACGCCTCCCACCCCAACCCATGCATCCCTCCTCCACATCCGCCCAGCAATTCTACACGCGCATCAGCGCAGAAAAGTAAAAGGAGCAGACTACCCCGGCGTAGTCCCTGTTTCCTGCTCGGAGGCAAGTGTAAGGGGGACGCTGGTGCAAGGACTTACAGACGGTGATTTATGGCGCTTAGATGTTTTTGAAGGGAAGGAATATGTTCGCAGCAAAGTTAGGGTCAGGGTTCTGCGGCCTAGTCAGAAAATACAAGGGGAAGGGAGAAAGGAAGGGGAGGGCATGGGCGATGTGACTCAAAAAGAAGAAGATAACGTCGAGGGAGAGGAGGTAGAGGCTGAAACGTATATTTGGGTTGCAGGGGAGCACAGGTTGGAAGGTGATGAGTGGGATTTTACAGAGTTTGTGAGGGAGAAGATGGGGAGGTGGGTTGGTGGGGTGGAACTTGAAGGTAAGATTTTCCAGCCCGTTGATACTAGTGATGAGTAGGGAATGAAGGGGATGGTGTAGCTAACGATCACCGCAGATGTCGATAATGCAGTGGCAGCAGCACAAGGCGATCCAACTGGCGGTCGCGGCGCAAACGGCGATATAACACGGCAATTGAACCAAGAGAGCAGGGCAAGCAGGGAGATACTCGAGAGTGCGGTGTGAATGAAGAACAGAAATCCGTTATTAGTTATATCTTAGCACGTCTTTCCCCCTCAGTTCCCTCATCCGTGGATCGAGTTTTCTTCTTCTTCTTTTCGCATTGCATTGCCAGAATGCACCACCCTTCCTCTCGTGGCATCGTCTGTCGGACGAACTGGCAAATATGTAGTAGAAGTATCTGTAGCAAGCAACGCCATCGCCATGCTAAGAAATAGAAAAGAAAAGAAAAATTCTAGAAAGGAACAAGCACAAGGCTGAATAGGAAATAAAAATGTTACAGAGGTGCTGGAAAAGCCGTACTGGTATCGTGCCGCTAAATGATTGGCCAAACGACCTATATTGTCTTGTCTTTTGTGGTGATGGGACTCCTCGCTGGCTCAGGTGTTTCTCGCACTATAGTACTATCTTGAGTCCCATCCAACTGCATTTGGTCGGTGGATTGTGAGATTGCTTCCACAGTATCATCAGTCCCTTCTTCGCTGCGTTGCAAGTTTTGGCTGGGCTGGCTTGGGTCTGGTGCTCTGGACCGACGAGCATGGTCCTTCTCGTAGTCGTCATCGACCTGGCCACCAGTTGATGTGTCCTTCTTACCGGACTCGACAATCTTGCTGCGCGGTAGTGGCGGGGGGATTTCCTCAAAGGAAGGTGAGGGCTGAAGCATCTGTATCGGTCTCGGTGGTTGCGATGATGGCATATGATGTTTGTCGGCACGAGGCTGCAAAGGAGGACGCAGTCCAGGGCCCTCGACTTCCATCTCTTGCGAATCCTTAATTTCAATGGGTGCATCCGGCGCGCTACCCTCACGGCTACGTGGGGACTTGGCCTTGATTCCAGAAGATCCATCTCTCTTCTTTTTCAATGACGGGTCCATCTGTGGTCTTTTGGCATTTAGTGAGCCTGTCAGATGATCGTGGTTGTCCTGTCTTTGACGCTTGCTAAGGCCGAACAAGCGAGATTCTTGGTCCTTTTGATCGATGTGTCCAGTCTGGTCAGTCAGTCTGTCGGGACTGTTATGCGTGTCACTGGCTGACTTATGTGGCTGGACAATCCTGCTGTTTACGCGAACCTCCGGGCTATGGCGTCTCGGTGACACATTAGAATGGCTAGCAAGCCCTGGTTTGGCAGGAGAATTGGTTGTTGGGGGTGAGTTTGAATCTTTAGTCGCGCCTCCCTGCGACGAGTGCTTGACTGAGGCTGAACTGTCCTTGCCAGGTTCAAAAGGCGAACCGAGTCTTGGAAGAGGTAAAGTGGGAGACGGTTCAGCTCGCGGTAGGCCATCTCCATCGGCAGCATGCTTGTCACTTTTTGCCTCCGTCTTTGTATCCGGTGATCTTTCACACGAGGTTTCTTTAGTCGTCTGTTTCGCTGTCGGATCAGGCGAAACCTTTGACTGCATCGATTCCTTCTTTGCCTTCTTCTGTGCCGCCCTTGCTACCTCTTGCTGCTTGTGGCATTCGAATATGATTTCTCGCATTTTGTGCCTCATAACTGAAGGATTGAGCTCTGGCCAGTCTTCTTCAGCCGACATGGATCCCGTCAATAGCTTGTGCATGAACTCGTCCGGATTTTGAAAAAACTTCTCGATGTAACCGAGTAGATAAACACCACAGTCGGTCCAGTTGTTCTGCATCGGAATCTGGGAGCCTTTTGGGTAGTAGCCATTCTCTTTGATGACTGCTTCCATGCCCCGCTTGCTTTTGCCTTCTGCTGCTATCCAGTCTTTAAGGGTGCGAACTGCCCCACTACGGGCAATCCCCCCGAGAGAGTCGAGAACAACAACTACTGGTTGAGTAGGATCTCTCTTAGGGACAACCTTGCGTTTGTTCTTGTTCTTGGCAAACGATAGACTTGATTGCACCAGCTTCCCTCGGGATGGGACTTCCAGATCACTAGCGGTCTGCGGCGTCTCCATATGTTCAGTTTCCGATTCAAGAGTTACTGCATTGTATTCGTCAACCCCAGTCCGGGGTCGAGCTCCTGTTCCAGGGTCATCACGATCAACTAAGGATATCGTCACCTCATCGAAGAGGTTGGGATCTTCATCCTGTTGGCTATGCACTTCTTCGACCTTCATAGGTGAGTTTGGATTTGACGTCGATTGCAACTTTTTGTGCTCCTCCCCGTCGCTTGCTGTAGTTGATATGGCAGACAATTCAGGTGTTTCTTGCATGCGAAGCTGTGGGTCATCGACATCTTCGAGCACGGGCTTGCGCTGGATGTTTGAGACATTGCAAATAATCGCCAAGTACCAATGCGACCTATGAGAGGTCAGTAAATTCTACAAGGTAGACAATTTTGACATACTGTGATTCATTGATAGGTACAACGATATAGTCGTAGGTGAAAATGTCAATCTTAGATGTCCAGCGCTCGACAGCTTTGTAGTTCATCGATTTGCGGCCAGCATTTTCTGTGAGTCTGGTGAAGAAGTAGGTATTGAAGAAATAGACCTTGTCAGCAGGAACGTTGAGCTTTTTGAAGAGATAGCTTCTTGTTGTTAGCGGTTGCATGAGCTGAGACCTCAACCCACATACATCATGTAGAAGTCTATCAGACTGTCATTCAAGTACTCCTCTTCGTCCAGTCGAGGCAAGTCATCAAAGTGCACTATAGCACGCTGACGCCCTTCCCCATACTCAAGGGACCTTCATGTGATTAGCGAAATCATGCAATGGAGTTTCGGTGCTTACTTGGTCCAGGGTCGTCCTAGTCCCTTGTCGATGGAGTATTTTGGCACCTCAACAATTTCAGGACTACTCCTTTCAAGGCGTGTGGACGTCAATGGTCGTGAGCGTGATGAACGGATCAATGCTGTGGCTGTTCTCGTATTATCAACGGTGAATCTGTCTTCGACACCCCTTTCGTGGCGCCGCTCTCGAACCCCAAGTGGCTTTTCCGCCTGCTCAGAATGCGTTCCATGACTCTTGAAGTCTGTTAAAGCGTTATCTGAGACTTCAGACATTGCTACTTTATCATTCCTTGCTCGTAGAGGCGAAGTAAACAATCGGCGCATGTGTTCACTGCAACAACGTTAATAGGGGGCTGATGGTGGCTGCGTGTTCACTCTTACTTTTCTTTCGAAAGAATCTTGCCGCTTGTTGTCAGAGACGCTGCATGTGAATTGCAGAATGCCAAAAAGTCACTTGTGTTGAGAAACTCAAGATCAAATATGGGAATATTGCCATCTGCATTCCTGGGTCCTTCCAGGCGAACACGGCTTGTCTCATCTGCATGGACCTTATTGACTTCCTGAGGATGGATAAAAATGACTGTCTCATAGCCCTCTGTGTTGTACTTCTGGACGCGCAAGCCTTTCGGGTCGCTTCGCAGAACCAGAGTAGTATGTTCGCCCTCCATTTTGGAGCCGGCCACGTCAAAGTCATACGATCTTGCAAATGACAACGGCCAAGAATTACTGCTGGATTTACTGTGTCCATTTCGTTTGGCACCACTCTGTACGGCCTTCTTTACTTTTGACGGTGACAGGATCTGCTTCCTGGTAGCAACGGGTGAAATGGCAAGCTCATCGGCGCTGTCGCTATCTTCAGCCTGATCCAATCGCCTAGGCACTGGTTGATGTTGAGTACGGAGATTGGGGCTGTTGTTAGTGACGGGGCGGCTGGTACTTGGCTGCTCTGTGGTCGATTCATTGAT